GTTTACAAATCCTCGGAAAACAAGAAATGGATGTTGCTAATTTGATTATCAGTACATTGCAACTTGATTTAACACCCGAAGAATTATTAGAAAAAGCTCATATCGAGGAAGAAAAATCACTAAAAAACTTAAGACTGATGTATGGTGAGTATAAAATTACTTTTATAGCATTAAATCATTAAAATATAATATGTTTAGATGATTGAAATTATTATAAATATAAATTAAATAATTCACAAAACCACGTTACACTCAACACATCATAATCAGTTTTTTGAATAGGTATAAAATGTATAGCGTATAATAATGTTATAACGTACTGCAATTGTCTAATATTTTCATATATTATATACATACAACATACATATATCTATTTGGTTGCAAAAAAAATTACTAATCATTTAATAATTCAATAGTGAGTTAATGGTCCCTWAAATATGATTTTGTGGTCTATTTTTTTTTGGGCCATTGAATTTAATTAATTTGAATGAATCAATAAATTAATACATTTTTGTATGCAACTTTGCATACTAAATCACAATAACGTCTATACCAATTCAATATGATATAAGGTAAAAACTAATTATTGTCGACATATGAAATTAATTGGTATAATTTCTAGAAAAACTTAGAACTTATATACATTTAAGCTTTTACCAAAACCATTCGCTATGCTCGCGTATTATTCCTTTATTATAGTCATATAGACCTCATCACAACATTCACAACTATACATGGTTACCTATACAACTTTTTATTTACAGTTCAAAATGTTTTATTATTTATAATTTGCTTTGAAATTATTGAAGTATAGGCTCAGTGTATCTTGCTGATATAATTTTATAACATTTGAGACAGATTTATTGAAAACTAGACAACTTCATCGGTTTTCAAACTAAACATTAGGTAGGTACTTTTAAATTTTTTATATTTTATTACATATTTTTTTTTCTTTTTAACGAGTGGAAAGCGAATATAATTAAGTGATGATGATGAGTTAAAYGTGTGTGTATTTTTTATATTTGATTTACATATATGTGTATACGATACCGTAGTCTAGAGCCTAGACCCTCCTCCGGGATCTGAATAAATTAATTATAAAAAAGTTTAATAAATTAAGTAAAATATTCATAGTAGACTTAGAACTACCGATCGATTTT